TAGCGTCTAGCATGTTACCAAGGTTTGTATTAAAGACCAGAGCATCAAAGATAAATGAGATTAGCTCATACCTTTAAGTAGCTCAAATCTACTCAGATGTACACATCTACAGATTTTTAACTTGACAAGTATTACACCACAAGCTGGTGGCTCATACTTATAATCCTAGCTACTCAGGGAGCTGAGATCTGAGCACTGAGGTTTGAAGATAGGAAAGTCTGTGAGACTTTTATCTCCAATTAGCCACCAAAAAACCAGAATCGATGATTTCCTAGGCTACAGATGATTTCCTAGGTTAGGCCAAAAAAGGGACATACCCACTTGAAATTCTTGCATTCTGGTAAAACTCAGGTGACATGCTGTGAGAAGCCCACGTCCCAACCAAGTTCAGCTTTGAATCACCATGGCCCAGATGTTAGACATATGAATAAAGAAGTTTTCAAGCCTAGGGAGGTAGCATAGTGATGAGTGCTTGTCTAGCAAGCTTGCGCCTATGCTTGCAATCTCTAGCATGCCTCCTTGATACCTCTTCCCAAAAATCCTTCAGATGATCCTAGTATCTAACCATTTTGTTTTTTGTTGCTGGTGGTGTTTTTCACATCTAGCAATTCTGGACTTTGAAGAATTTGATAACCATTCATTCAAGTGTTTTCAGGTGAGGCCTCGGATAATATGGTATAGTGACAAAGCATCCTAACTCACAGAATCTGAGAACCTAACAAGACCTATTTCTACAGTATTAGACTTGGGATAGATTATTACATAACTGTTGTAATTGAAGCATATATTTAAGTAATATCACAAAGATTAATTTTAGTTGCAAGGGCAAAACTTAAAGAAACATGACAAATAAAAAAGCAAGCAAACAACTAAACAAATCCAGGAGAATACTTGTAACAATTGACCTAGTCACTTTAAGAAATTTGTTAAGAAAGCAAACAACTAACTAATCATCTCCACTATTATCACCACCACTACCACTACTTAACAACTAGATGCAATATACTATCCTACATACATAACTGATCTGGACAAACAAGCTCTATAAGGTACTTCTGAGTCAATTAGAGAGTCTGAAGATGATCACACAGCAGTAACATCACTATCTTTTGATAAAAAATATATGCACATAAATATATGCATTGAAAGAGTTGGAGGAACTACACAAAATTTTCCTGATGGAGATTTCTGAGTGTCAAAATCTGATTTTTTACTTATTTATTTTTTGGTGCCAGTCCTTAAGGCTTGAACTCGGGGCCTAGGTGCTATCCCTGAGATGTTTTGTTCAAGGCTAGGACTCTACTACTTGAAGCATAGCTCTACTTTCGGCTTTTTGGTAATTAACTGGAGATGAATCTCACAGATGTTCCTGCTCAGGCTGACTTTCCAACATGATCCTCAGATCTCAGCCTTCTGAATAGCCAGGATTTACACATGAGAGCCCCTGGTGCTAGGCTAAAAGTGGTACTATGTATAAATAAATATATACTTATTATATATTATATATTTATTATATTTATCATTTTCACTTTTAACTTTCTACAATACGAACATCCTTCAGTCTCATAAATTAAAATTATTTTGATACATGAATCTTGGAGAAGAAA